TCCTCTCATAACACAGAGCCAGGCTGCAATGGTTCTCTCCTACCGCGACCTCTAATACTCCTACTCAGTTGAGATCCGAGCCATCCTTTCGTTGCTTGTGAGAAAACCTGGTTCATTGTGTGCGGATCAGGCGTGTGTGGCACGCATAGACAGATTGTTTACGGTTCCTGCGCTCGATCCCACCTCCGACTGTGTCTTGCCATCATACACAGAAAGGTGAAATAGGAGAGTCTGGTAGATGCTAATAAGATCTACTCCCACTATAAACTAATTCACGCGCAGGGTACCATCATGCAAAGAACAGGATGGTCAAGCTGTCATGATATGCCCTGTGTAGCCAACCTAGATCCGCCGATACCGGAGGATACAGCGGTTTTGCTCCGCTTAATTCCTGCGTTTACAATCTTTTGAAACAACCGACTGTGGCCACTGGTAAGTATCTCCAGGGCGCACAGTTTGCCAAATGCAAACATGACTACACCTGACCAGTAAACCGCAACTAAGGTCACTCATTTGTTAGTCCTTAATTGGACCTTTGACCCCTACGTCAAATGGGTTAGGCATGATCAGCAAGGTGTAATTGGCATACGGTTGAGCGTCGACTTTTCGCAGTTAAGTATTCACGAATTCACTTATTCGCTGATTTTTTCCATGGAGCCTACCTAAAATTTTAGTTACTTTATTTCATTCATTTTCGAGATTGAATACATCTTTTGTTTAAAAAATGACTTGCTAATTTTTCGATATTAATATTGAATTTTCACGCATCAATGGACGGATAATTTGATTAGTTTTTTGCGTCGGATAGAGTAAAAATTGTACGTATGTTTACGCGTAGATGAAGGCGATATTTTCTTAAGGGTGATGGTGTAAAATGACTTTGAAATAATATTAATATTTTTAAATAATTTCAAGGTATAATTGGTGTTAACACAATAAAATTCACGGTTATAAGTGTTCTTCGATTGTAGTATTGGAAAGATATTATTACAGAAGCAAATCATGCTCAGGTCTAGTAACTATTTATCTTTCTTTCCGCTGCAGAAAAACATCCGATTAGAATATCCAGCATTAGCAAGATGGTAAACGAGCAAGCTGGGCCCTTGACATATGTAAGGCTTACCCATGGCAATCGACAAGTTCGGACCTCTATTGGATGGTATGTAATGCAGCCCATTCGAAAGAAATAATAGACTACACATGCAGTGCTGGTATATAAGAGCTCCTCTTGCACCGGCAGCGCAATCTTACCAGGCCCCCTGAGGTGCATTTTCTGAGATATAATCCGCTCAGTAGTTTAGTGTAAGGCATTTTGAACCTCGAACACTGTGATTGGTGGCATGGCGTTGCAATCGCCTTAGGTGATCCAAGGCTTCAATGGTGCGCCGCAGATGGAGGATTGCATATGTGCGCCACCATAGCATCACTAATGCCAGAGCGCTGCAGCCCAATGAGACGGAAAAGGAGGCTTTTATTACAAGATATATTTTCGCAGCCGTCTGCCCATGCATAAACTTGTCGTTGTCCAGAGCGCAAAGACGCTAGGACTGAGGAGATTGGTGAAGGTAGAAGAACATTTTGCCAATAAGTCGGTGTGAGAAAAACG